GCTCCTGCCTCCTGCATTCATTGACATAAGATGCCCGTGATATAATGTAGAAAGCAAGGCAGGTAGCAATCCCACTTGTGTTTTGTATGCATGCATGTGTGTGTAGGTAGTATGGAACAATGTATTTTAAAGAGTACATGAACAATTAACTCAGATAGGTGGATAATACTTATTTTCCTGAATGTAATTCTCTGAGTTTTCTCATAACATTTTCCTTTTTAAAATAAGAAAAAACCAAACTGTTTCCACTGGAGGAGAACACACTTGCTCAGCAAACATTTATGAACCATAACCGTCTGGGGTGGTGGGGAGGTACTAACTGGAGTTTTGTTGAGTCACCAGTGTCAATGTTTAATTCCCTCCTGTGTCACTGAAATTCCACCTACAGTTTAGGCAAAAACGGTTAACTCACTGCCTACAGGAAAGTATTCCTTGGACCTAAAGAGCTTTCCTTGACAGAGCAGTAGACGACAAATGAAAGGAAACTAATTTCATCATTAATTGTAACACATTTTGTCCACCACCTCTGGACACCAACTTAGGAAAGAGAGAACGCCATCCAAGTCTATTCTAACTGTATGGGACGGACCAAGCGTGACAGCTAGTCTCCTAAGATGCCTCCACCGTGAAACACCATGAAGTATGCCCCAGTCATCACAGTGGAAATGGCACGATGTTTCCTTCACGTTTCTACCTGGACCTTTTGGACCAACACTCCTGGGGAAATCCAGCGGCCATGGGAGAATTCCAAGTCCTCTAAGACAGCAGGTCTGAGGACCCCACGCCTGTCCACAGAGGTCGCAGGAGGAGAGAAAGGCCTCCTTTCTCTCGATGCACCCCAGGCCCAGCTGTGTGCGAAGGAGGAGGCCCTCATGACTCTTGCCCCAGCACCCTGACTACAGCTGCGTGGGAGATGCTAGCAAGGACCACCCCGCTGAGCCCATCAACCCACAGGACTGGGAGAAGGAGTCATAGAGTGTTGTTTTTAAACTACGAAGTTTTGAGGTTTGCTCTGGCACAGAGATGACCAAAACACCAAGAAACAACCACAGAAACCTTTTGCTCTCAACCCCATTGCCTGTCTCCATTTTCCACATTAAACTCAGTTTCCTACAAAATCTCAAATAAACAACGAGTCATTTGGATGGCATGCAAAGAAAAATGCACTATGCCCATCGAAAGAAAGATATTTTAACTCTCCAATGACAACTTCAAGTATGAAAATAAGGAATGGCTCTAGATTCCTGTGGGGAAAAGGAATAGCTGTGGCAAAGTGGGAGAAATGGCCCTCACCTACAATGCCTGAGAACCCTGTGTCTGTGGTGCCTTTCTCCCCACATACCTGCACCCCTTAAAGGGACTTAAAATCCCTAAAGCCAGGGAAGGCAGCGCCTAAGAAAGAGGGTGGACTGCAGCAATCCCAGTACAGTCCAGGAGGAAAAGGTCTGCAAAACCCGTTAAATAGTCTGCCATCACTGCAAAGTCACTTGAATTATGTCTGCAGAAGGTAAGCCCTCCACTTTGTATTCCAACCAACAGCAGAAATGATGTATATCTGAGATGGAATACTTGTTCTTCAGTCGCTGAGTCGTGTTGGACTCTTTGCGACCCCATGGACTGCACCACACCAGGCCTCCCTATCCTCCCCTATCTCCTGGAGTTTGCTCAAACTCATGTCCATTGTGTGCCATCCAGCCATCTCATCTTCTGCCACCCCCTCCTCCTTCTGCTTTCAGTCTTTCCCAGTCTTTTCCAATGAGTCAGTTCTTCACATCAGGTGGCCAAAGTATTGGAGCTTCAACTTCAGCATCAGTCCTTCCAATGAATATTCAGGACTGATCTCCTTTAGGATGGACTGGTTGGATCTCCTTGCATCAATTCTTTGGTGTTCAGCCTTCTTTATGGTCCAACTCTCAAATCTGTACATGATAACTGGAAAAACCATAGCTTTGACTATATGGACCTTCATCAGCAAAGTGAGGTCTCTGCTTTTTAATATGCTGTTTAGGTTTGTCATAGCTTTTCTTCCAAGGAGCAAGAGTCTAAAATACTAGGGACTCTTAAAAGAGGCAACTCCTGACTCAGCAACACCAACTTGTTAAGCAATAATCTAGAGAGAGATGAATGTGTGCCTCCAAGTATAATCGGGACCCACTCAAATCGGTAACATTAAGATCCAGCAATTCTCTAAACTAGAGTCATGTGGATACAAGTCAATTAGGTCCAGTCACTCAGTTTTCAGGAGAAATCAGAGAACTCTGCAGACCTGACCATATTTACCTGTAATAACATTTTTTCCCCAGAACATCTGCATTGTGGCACTGCCTAACACTAGAAAACAAATTTCCTGGTATTAGAATTGATGCTTTCAAACTGCAGTGCTGGAGAAGACTCTTGAGAGTCCCTTGGACAACAAGGAGATCCAACCAGTCCATCCTAAAGGAAATCAGTCCTGAATATTCATTGGAAGGACTGATGCTGGAGCTGACCCTCCAATCTTTGATCACTTGGTGGGAAGAGCTGGCTCACTGGAAAAGACCCTGATGCTGGAAAGACTGAGGGCAGGAGGAGAAGGGGACAACAGAGGATGAGATGGTTGGATGGCATCACTGACTCAACAGACATGAGTTTGAGCAAGCTCTGGGAAATAGTGAAGGACAGGGAAGCCTGGTGTGCTGCAGTCCATGGGGTCGCAAAGATGGACACAACTGAGTGTCTTAAAAACAACATATATTATATACAGAACCAGGAAGAACTCAAATAACTAGATGACCTGATAGTTCAAAATCAGGAGCACATGGAAGCCAAGAAGTCTTGATCTTCATCTTTTCACTTAAGCCATTTAGATTCCTCCCCACCACAAGCCATCTGATTTTAATCATGAAATACTGGCCTTCACTAACCTAGGAATAGGGGCTATAAGAATATTGAATCTGAATTTCCTTATAGATGAAATGACTTTCTATTGCATCTCCAAGGCTGTAACGCTGCTGTTCCACTCTGTTTTGGTCCGTTATGTTTTGGAAGTTGGGTAGTTTGGATGGGAGGCAAACGAGAACATAGCGAAGCTTTCAACCGCAGGGGTTTACACATCCAAGGAGCATCCCTGGAACAGAGGGTTTCCACAAACAACTCAATTAATACACGGACTCACAGCGCTTCTTAAAATGTCTTTTATTGGTTGTACATTTCTGATGAGGCCAACACACCCTTTCTTTCGAGGACCCCTGGCTCCTGGAGACTTAGTTCCTTGTCCTAGCCACGAGAACCAGAGCAAGCATTTTGACAGAAAGAGGTGGCCGAGCGTCTCCCGACACTGTCACCGTCTTCTCCCACCTTCATTGTGCTGTTTGAGTCCCTTCCTAGAGGAGCACGACGTGGAACAGAGCATCCCCAGTGTGAGGTCACACACAAAGCAGAAACATCCAGAGACAGAGTCTGCAGTCCACTCCGCAGGAGCAGCAGGAGACCAGAGAACGCCCTGAGGCAGGAAGTCCAAGAGTCACCACCTCTCCCCCGACGAGTCCAAGTGGGACCTGAGCTCCTGATTTCGTTTTCCTTTGAAAATTCTCATTTCTCTTGAGGTGATGGGAGGCGGGCCAGAGCGGTCGCCACAGGAACCACATAAGCATCACATGGTTCGACATCTTACCATTTCCTTGGTCAAGAACACAGATTCAAAGAACTATTTCATGGCACATAAGGAACTCATTCTTCCTTTATTGTGATCTTAGACCAGAAAGCAGGGAGGATTATAAAGTCATGTTTTTCACAAGATACCCTGACTGAAAATGCCACCATTGAATGACCTGGATAAGGCAAAATTACCCCTACTTTTGGCAATAATTCCCTGTGATCTGACTCTGAGAGGTCAGTCATCCAGGCTCTGAAGTATGCCCCCCCCACGTCAATGGTAATTTGCATGAAAAAATGAATTTCTCAAGAATAAGGGTCTAGGACAGGTGGCTTCCCCCAATGTTAAAAACAACCATGACTTCTTTCAAGTCATATTATTGCTCAATTCAATGTATTTCTGGTTACTCTACCAAAAGTTAACTTATATCAATGCTAATACTTGTACCCACCTCAAATCCTACACATTAGTTACTTCCTTGGTTTCGAGATTTTGTGAGAACACCCCTGATCACAACAAGTCTCTGCAACCCCATGGACAGTAGCCTTCCAGGCTCCTCCACGGGATTCTGCAGGCAAGAACACTGGAGTGGGTTGTCGTTCCCTTCTCCAGGGGATCTTCCCGACCCAGGGATCGAACCTGGGCCTCCCGCGTTGCGGGGAGATTCTTTCCAGCCTGAGCCACCAGGGAAGCCCCCACAACAAGCAGTAGTTCAAAAGAAAACAACCGCCTGGGTAACAGGAAAGCTAGAATGAAGCCAAAAAGCTAATAGAGGAAAGACTCTCCAAGGCACGCCTCCCTACAAAACAGGTGTTTTTAAATACAATACCAGAGCTTTGGCTGAAAGTTCTCAGTTGGTATTCAGAATTCCCCTTTCCTTTCACAGTGTGAGAAAGGTTTCCCCTTGAGGAAGCTGATCTCACATTTCCAGGAGGAAAACAGCTGAGGACACACCCCTCCAGTTCTTCTTTCCTCCTGCAGCTCATAAGCATATAGTTCCCGAGGTCAGAACAAAGACTTACCGAACACGAACCTCAAAGACATGGAAGCAGTCCACCCCAGCCTTCAGAGATCTTTGCTTGATCAACAGCTAATGAATTCCCCCCGCCACAGCCAGCCTGCCCTGGCCATGAAGAAAAGACACGGCAGTCTCCAGGAAACAGATGGGCTCTACCAGGAAAGCTAGCAGGGGGCTCCTCGTGGCAGGAAGGAGAGCCAGCGGATGAGGGAGTCCATGAATGAGAGTCACTCTTCTATGTCACACTCCGCGGAGACAGAGCGTCAGAGACGGGTTTCGAAGGATGGGGTGACACCCTCTCCGATCTTTCAGGATGTTTCAGGTTCTGGGGAGAGATGGCAGGGCCTCCTAACCAGCAAATAGAATCGCTCCTTCTAGCATCAAAGGACTATAAAGACAGGGCCTGTTTCCACCTGCCAAGCAGCTGCCTTTACAATAAATGTGGCTTAAAGACAAAGCCGGGGTGCAGCGCAGAAACACAGTCAACCAACCACGCTGTGCTGTGCTGAGTCGCTCAGGCATGTCTGACTCTAGGACCCCAGGGACTGTACCACCAGGCTCCTCTGTCCGTGGGCTTCTCCAGGCAAGAACCCTGGAGTGGGTTGCCATGCCCTCCTCCAGGGGATCTTCCTGACCCGGGGATTGAAGCCGGGTCTCCTTCATTGGCAGGTGAATTCTTTACCATTTGAGCCCCCAGGGAAGCCCCAGGTTATTCAATAGAAGCAGCATTTTCAAACTGAAGCACAAAGGAAGCTGTGGAACCTCACCTGTCAAGCTAAAATTCTTACCAAGCCCAGCTTCACTAAGTAGGTATATACTGAGCAGCTCATCAATATCTGCACAAAATATACAGAAAAATGTTCATATACTTAAATAAACCATTTGAAGCCCACCCCTTACCCCTCTTCCAGCTTTCAATGACGCCCCATGATGGTCTGTATAGTGGGGAATATGCCCCAATAGTGGAAGTTAATTACAGAAGGAAAACAATTTTTCCTCTAAAAATACCTATTTTATTAAAACATCACTTCATCATTTCAGTTCATAGAGAAAAATCACTCCACTCAGAAAATAAATTTGAGACGAGGGGATAAAACAGACATAGGGACAAGCAGACGGGTAAGTTGAATTTTCTTAATTGAACCTCTTTGGCTGGCTCTCAGACAGAGATTGGCTGAGGGCGTGACAAATTGTTGCCGAATGTAACTTTTGACACAAATAGTGTTTTAGAGTGGCTGTTGTGAAACTCTGTCAAATTTGGTTTGGTAACGGTCAGAATTCGGGGCAGGCTCAACGAGTGTGCAGAAGGCCTGTGATTCCATCCACGTGGCGTCTAAGCGCCCTCTTCATGACAGACGCTCTGTTTTCAGCTTCCAGGGGCCGCCCCGGGGAGCCCGCTCCTGGGCTCCACCTGCAACCTTTGCAAAACCCAGCCATGGTAGCTGTCAGCCTGCATCTCAGATCACACCCCTCTCCGTGCCAACACTGTCCGAAGAGCTCTACTCTCCCCACGTGCCAGTGAACAGAAACGACAACCACCGCCTCTGCAGACGTAGACTGTGAAACCCCACGGCTCGTCGAGAAAGAGCCCAGTCCCTCCACCGCCTCGTCACTGGGCTCAGGCTCCTCCCGACCACTTTAGAGTAAGAACCAGTTTAAGGATCTACATGCATGGCCATCATAGATCAATTTCTGCATTTTCTTTGAGTCAGTCACGTTTAAAAATGAAAATACACGACCCTCTTCTTGCCCTTCCACCTTCAAGACTCATGGGCACCCTCAAGACAGCAGTCAGCAAGGACACATAGATATTGTTGGATACGTTTCCCAGATTCTTGGGCTGTTGAGGGCCCTCAACGGCATTTCATCCCATTTCCAAGCCCCTAACAGTCACAGAGATTTCCAGTTAAAGAAAACAAGACTGGTAGCCAAACATTCTGATGAGCGTTTGACAGGGGTTTCAGAAAGGCATACTCTCATCCCTCCCCCTTATGACAGAGACCCCCGAGAAACACCAGCAAACAGCGTCTGGAAGCACGACAGTGTGATCAACTCACACTCACCTCCAAGGACAGAACACACACCAGGCAACACGAGATCAGAAAGAAAAGAAAAGAAAACCACCACTTTCCCCACACTGCTTCTAAAAATTCAAACTAGCTTTAAGCATTTCTTTTTTATAAATTATAAATTCTAGCTCTTCTGGTGAAGCCCTGTAGTGTATTTCTATAAACATTCACAGTTCTCTGCATTGTGGAAAAAGCACATTCCCCAGAAAAACTTTGGTGTTCACCTCTATTAAAAAATATTTGCCCCCAGAACTTAACATTAGGGGGCTCAGTTTTGTGTTCATTTTTCTTTACCCAGAAAGCAGCTGACAGATGTATTTTCAAAATGCTTTATCACCCCTCTTATCACATACTTTTTTCAGGGTGCCATCTGTTTAAAATGGTCTCTGTAAGATCAGTAACAGTAGGGAAACAAGGAAATTTTCTGACATCCAAATCAATGCCACTTTCTGAATTCTCTTATAGTTCAGTATCTTTAAGGAAAAAAAGATAATAATGAAGATTTGGCTTTTTGATGGACTTCCCCATAGGAGATCATCTCGATAGTAACGCTGAAAATAAACGAAGGGATATACCTGATGCATCAGCTTGCTCTTCCCTGGGGTTCCTGTCCTGGCATGTGTCTTTTCTTCCAGCCCCCCAAACCTAATTTCTCATCACTGCTCAGCCTTCAACTCCAAAGTCCGGGGACGAGCCCCTGAGGCAGCGGCTTGACTCGCCCTGTTGACAGAGCTCGCAGGCTCCAATTCAGACAGGACGCTAATTGCTGACTTCTGGTCACGGTAGAGCATGATTTCAGAGCAAGCCCTCTCCAGCCCAGCCACTCTTCTCTGAAGGCCAAACGGGAAGTTTTATTACCAGGTCTTAGCTTTCGAATGGGAGCTCTGCTACAAGTTCTCTTAGTTACTCCTCGCCGTTTCAAGATTTGAGAACAATAGAGTCCATGTAAGCAAGACCAGTGCAAAATTGCTGATTCTTATTTTTGAGATAATGAAAATGGGTGCATCGGTTCTTTTCCATAGAAGTGTCAAAGTCAGCTCAGGTCACAGGTCACCTGTAACCAGCAGAAGAATAGCAAGTAAATGGAACCAAGAAAAACAGAAAAGACCGTGATGGCCTGGTCGAAGCCACAAACCCTGGGGGTTACTTAGGGAGTTCTGGGGTTTTTTGTTTTCCCTATATTAAGACACAAGATGTACCTAAGGAGATCCCACCAGTCAACCCTAAAGGAAATCAAACCTGAATATTCATTGGAAGGACTGATGCTGAACCTGAAGCCCTAATACTTTGGCCACCCGATGCAAAGAGCTGACTCATTGGAAAAGACCCTGATGTTGGGAAAGATCGAAGGCAGGAAGAGAAGGGGACGACAGAGGATGAGACAGTTGGATGGCATCACCGACTCGATGGACATGAAGTTGAGCAAACTGCAGGAGGGGAGCCTGGGGCGCTGCAGTCCGTGGGGTCGCAAAAAGTTGGACACGACGTAGTGACCGAACAACAGCAACGACGTAATAAATGGAACTATAAAGTGTTTCTTTTTGCTAGAACGCCACGGAAAACATTACTAAGATAATCGATGGTTCCCTGAACAGATGTTTCGACTGTCTGGCATATGAACATTTGGGGGTTAGGCTTGAAGAATATACAAGAACTGTGAAAGACCAATGATTTTGAGCTATACACACACAAACACACTCATTTTCCATCTCAGACTGTGCAAGCAAGATAGAAGCAGATTTAACCAATTTGTTCTGATTACATCAGTGTGACCAAACACAGTTATGAGAATAATGGATGGATAATGGATGGTTCCCCCACAGAGGCTGATGGATCTCGCCAGGTGGAAAGTTGTGGACAATCTTACTGATATTTTGTCATCATATACACACACCTGTGTGAGTTCTTTCTCCTTTAGTCGCCCTTGGGAGGCTCTATACTTATTCCAGGAAGGTTGAGTTTGTGTAAAAACACAACACGCATTTTTTTGAGAAACCTACATTTGAAATTATCTTCAGAGCCCATGGCTTTTTTCAGAGCCCATGGTGTTTTTCAAAAGACATTGAAAAGCTTTACTGGTTATGAAATGTCAGGCTCCTTGGAAGTAGATTTTTTTTTAACCAGAAACATCAATAAAATATATATTTTTTAAGTTTTAATGGTAAAACTCCAGTTCTGGGGGCAAATTTGGCTTCTAGAATTTGCCAAACACTACTTGATGCTATGTCTGAAAAACCAAGTAGGTAAAACAAAGAGGGAAAAATACCTGGTAAGGATTTTTATTAAAAGAAACAAACCAGTAAGGAGTAGTTAGCATTCCACACATTACACGCATGGGAGAGGAAGTGGATACTGAAGCCTTTTCTGTAAGAGAAGTGACCAAACTATTTTAGAAAGTAACCTGAAGGTGGCTCCTCTAAAGGGCGGTAGTGACACATACAGGTAAGTGGCCACTGCCCTAAAGTGGACATGCCATTCCCATTGTTTCTGGCATACCTCTGAAGTCAGCAACACAGAGAGAGATGGACAGTTCATAAAGTCTGTATCATGTGGGTGATTATGTCCCGCCAAATCAAGCAGATTTGGGGGGAAAAGAACATTATCTCCTTTATAGAGACATATGGGCTTTCTAATACACTGATAAATATAGGCAAGGCTGATATCCAGATAGTCCATGCTGGTAGCACATTAAATAGTGTGCTGGCCACAAAGCTCATTCGGATTTTTCTATAATACAACAAACATCTTACAGAAAATCTGGGCTTCCGTGGTAGCTCAGCTGGTGAAGAATTGGCCTGCAATGCAGGAGACACTGGTGCAATTCCTGGGTCGGGAAGATCTGCTGGAGAAGGGATAGGCTACCCATCCCAGTATTGTCGGGCTTCCGTGGTGGTCCAGGGGTAAAGAATCTGTCTGCAGTGCGGCAGACCTGGGTTTGATCCCCGGGTGGAGAAGATCCCCTGGAGGAGGGTGTGGCAGCCCACTCCAGGATTCTTGCCTGGAGAATCCCATGGACAGAGGAGCCCGGCGGGCTGCAGTTCACGGGGTCACAAAGAGTCAGACACACCTGAGCACATGGAAAAACTGGCATCAACTTGGTGGCCAATCCAATATTTTGCATATCATCCCTGGATAGGAATATCTTCTCTCTTTCTTTACACACACACACACACACACATATGTATGTGTGTATGTACATGAGATTCCTAACATATATCAACTTAAATATAAATTACACATCTCTTTATTTCAGAATTAGTTGTTTAGAACTTATAACAGTTCTAAAAAAAATTAAATTTAGACTTGGAAGGCTAATAGGCCATTCTACTTTAGGACACAAGATACCAAATCACCACGGAACACACTGCTTCTACAGGGAAAAGGTGTCCCAAATTTCAAATCAGTATTCCATCTCTCTTCAGTGGGGAGTAGGCGAGTGTTCTCAGCCCTGTTGCAGGTCAGAACACACAAGTGACTTGTAAAAAGTACCAGCTGCCAGGTCCTACCCTGACCAACTCAGTGAGGACCTCTGGGCCCTTGGTAGTGACGGTTCACAGGCCCCCGGTGAGTCCACTCTGCATCCGGGCTGAGAACCACCACCCACTGCTTCTCCACCCAGGGCGCTTATTTGCAAGCTCAGGCCCTGGGCTCACAAACAGGAGAGGTGAACACATGAGGAACACGGTTAGTTAAGAATATTTCAAAGGAAAAATCACACTGGACAAGAGGCAAGAGTCAGTCACCTAAGCCTGACCAGAGAGACGTTCTGCTTAAAAATTTCACCAAAAGCTGTCATGAAATAGCCTCGGATTTTTTTTCTATTTTCAAGAAGATGGATGTGTTATTCTTGTGATTCTTCCCTCTGCATCTCAAAGACAGAAACTTTCAGATTTAGAAAAGAGGATAGGAGAGTGAATGGCCATGACCACGGGGATAATTCTCTTTTTTTCTGACTGGAAAAAGATGAGACAGGAGTAGCATCAAAGCAGATGAGTTGGACGTTTATCAAACAGGTGCGTCTTGGAAATGAAGATGAACAAGTGGACGGACATGCCTTCCTTTCTCTGGGCGTAAGCTGGATGCTGAGAACAAGGAGCAAATGCAGAGAAAGACAGGACTGCACTTCAAAAGCCAAAAGAAAGAGACAGGACTGTACCTGGAGTGCTCAAGGGAACAATGTCGTCTCTGTATTTGTGAACTTGAGGCAAAGAAAGGAGCAGACTGTGTTCTCTTTGGAAAATTTTTTAAATCTCTTTTTAAAATAAAATCCCTCTGTGTTTGTGCTGCAGGAGTAGCTTCGTATTAACACAACGTCCCAAAGCAATGCTTCCCGGCTGTCACGGGTTGTATCTTCCCTGTGAACCACTTCACTCCCTGACCTTCCAAGAACCCAGACCCCAGATCAGAGAACCCTCAGGTGTCTCTGGCCACGAGAAAGAGCTTCTGCTGCTTCATCAGCCTGCTGGGAATCCATCATGGAGCCAGCCTCCCGACGCGCAGCAAGCCCCCACCAGAGGCGGCGCCTCGGGCTCAGCAGTCAGTCCAAGAATTCAGCCAGTGCCCCACGATCTTCCCACCTCACAAAGAAACTGCTCACCGCCTTTATTTTTCTTCTACTGCAGCCCTTCCCTTTACCAGAAGGTTCTTTTGTGAACAGAAAACCAAACCAAAAGAAGCAGGATGACAGTCAGGACAGAGGCAGTCCCTGGGCGCACACTTTGCAGGAGGCCACGGCAGAGGCGGGCGCTGGTTCTCTGCGCGCGGAGACAAACTGCCCCTCGGGACTGACAAACCTCCTCCTTACCAAGGATGGATGTTACTTATAATAGCCTTTCGCAGGATTTGTGACGTCACACACACACGTAGAGGGGTAGACAGGTGATGGAAAACCACGCTGCAAATCACATTCCACTATTACTACACCACATAGACCAAGAGAACAGTCAGATCTGTGACTCTCTGAGCCGTGACAAGGGTGATTTTGTGTCTTCCAAAGTTGGGAAAATCGTGTATGACCAGGCAACGCTGCCGCATCACCTGAATACGCGGTGATGACCCCGGGTGGAGCAGAAACTGAGGGACGCAGCAGCAGCCACAACTCTGGAACAGACGCTTCACATGAGCTCCTGGTGGCTGCTTTTATCAGAATCCCAAAGATGCGCGTGAAATAATTTCTTCTGGACCACAGACACGATCGAACTTAAAAAATAAAAAAGCCTATAAATACTGACAACCCAATCTTGTCTTTTGTCTCCCCCTCCTAGCATAAAATGGAATCTTGTCAACCAAGCGCTTAAACATAAATATTAAAATAATAAGTGGGACAGACCACAGATCTACTTACAGTTTCATCATGACCATAGCACCTTTTTTACCTTTTTACCAATGCATCCGTTTCGTAAAGAACAGAAGTCTGAAAAGCTTATGGACTCATATGACACATCATTAAATATTTAATCACCTTTTTAAGTCCTAAGCTTTATCATATTTCATCCATCTAGACAGTTCATTCTATAACTATAGATTCCAAGGCCCCCTTTGGAGGGGGAAAAAAAGAGAAAATGGGGAGAAAAAAAACCTTCTGAGAGGCAGGGTTAAATTATCTCAAAGATGAGTTTCTATTGGCGCTTTAGTGAACATCAGCCTGTAAACCCACCAATCCACAGGAGGGTCAACCGATGGAGTCCATGGTATTTAGTCTCCAAGAATCGATTTTACAAAAGATGCCACGTCTGTCGCTTTGGATTCATGTAGGGTGAAAAACGGATGTTGCTGGTGAAGAAAAGAAAAATGCCTGCAGTTAATACCGGCCTCTGACAACGCGTGAGATTAGCAACCTGGTTAGTTAACACAGTGAGTGCCCCATCAGGGCTGAACTAGATCCTTCCCTCCCTTCCCAAACCAAGTAGCCGAGCGCACACTCAGGGATGCAGACTTCTAAAGGTGTCGTTGAGGCGCTGCTCCTCCTGTCTTGGCGTCGCTTTGATTCCATGACACAGTATCCACTGCTTTAAAATATACATATGTAACCAGGCTATGTACATCCCACGCATGTGTGCTAAGCACGCGTGCTAAGCTGCTTCAGTCGTGTCCGACTCTGTGCGACCTGATGGACCGTAGCCCGCCAGGCTCCTCTGTCCACGGGGTTCTCTGGGCAAGAACACCGGAGTGGGTTGCCATTCCCTTCTCCAGGGGATCCTCGCAACCCAGGGATCGAGCCCACGTCTCTTACGGCTTCTGCATTGGCAGGCAGGTTCTTTACCACTGGTGCCACCAGGGAAGCCCGTATACATCCCATCAATGGGTAAATACAAGGAGAAGCAAAGATGGCTCAAAGATTCAGTTTACAAATAACCCTGTCACCTAGAAAGTAATCTTCAGACAAGGCAGCAAAACAATAAGACTTTTGAGAGATTTACGCCCATTCAGTCCCCAAGAAGTGAGCCGTAGAGTGAGAAGCCAGTTTTTGGAACAATGAACGGGCCTTGCTTGCGCGTAACAGTAGAGAACTGGTTTGCACTGAAACAGCGAGCAGTGGTGCTTCTTACGTCTCATCTACTGATAACAGGGCTTCCCTGGGAGCTCAGACGGTAAAGAATCCGCCTGCAATGTGGCAGACCTGGGCTTGATCCCTGGGTCGGGAAGATCCCCTGGAGGAGGGCATGGCAACCCACTCCAGTGCTCTTGCCTGGAGAATCCCACGGACACAGGAGCCTGGCGGGCTACAGGCCGTGGGGTCGCAAAGACTCAGACACGACTGAACCACTACGCACAGCACATTGATAACAAGTGATGCTTATGTCTCTCGACGATGACCTGATCCATGTGGAAAATAAAGCAGCCTGCCCAACCCTAGGTCTGCACGGAGAAAATTCATCTTGGGAGATTAAAAATCGAGAAGCAAAAAGGTGGTCTGTGCTTATGCTGCTCAGATTTAGTAAACTTTATGTCAAGTCGTGCTCTTTGGCGGGGGAAGAAGCATGGTCCAACGCAGGAAGCCACGCGTTTCCAAACGATTCTGAAGGAAACGAACCCGCGGGCTCTGCCCCAGGACCGTCCTCCTTGAATAGCTCAACTCCCTGATGGGAAGCGCCTGGCTGACACCCGGGAACCTCACACCTCCAGTTAGAAGTGGACACATCGGCTCACGGTCCACAGTCCTCCCACTGCAATCAGAACCAAGCGATCAAACCAAACAGAACAATTCCTCCAGGCAGAACCTAGAGCCTGAGCTGGCAGGGCCCCCTCCAACTGTCTGGGGGCATTGCTCCTCTCAGGGACCCGTCAACAGCTAAGCATGAGCATTTCTGCACACAGACAGGTCGGTAACTCACGCCGCTTCCCCTGACTTTGAGGGTTTTAGTTCACAGCCTACGTGTTGCCTAGTTCTAGGTTTTCTAACTATATTTGTTTTAAACCTGAGAGCAGAGGGCTGGATGACTCAGCCCTGTGGGAACCTGGAATGCCCACCCATGGACGTTTTAGAAAACAATGCAAAGAGGAAAGGAACAAAGAAAGCAAGTCCCAAATAAGGTCGGTGGTCACCACAAAGTACAGTGACGCAAAAAAAAAAAAAGAGAGAGAGAGAGGTTTTCTGGCTTTGCCGTTGGGTGCTTCATACCCACGATATTAACCAGACCTCCAGGTGCCGGGGCAGCCTCTGGAGCCCCTTGGATGAATAAAAGGCAGGACTACTTCTGAGCACTAGCCACTTACACAGCACCCTTGCCAAGTGTTTTACCATCGTGCTTATTAGCTTTCGCACATCCTCTCGACATCCAGAGATCTTGTCATGCACTTTGAAGCCTTTCACTATCAAAACAGGACCTGTCCAGTCTCAGCAACTACTCCCCACGCCCGCCAGCCCCATCCTGTCTTTTGGTCAGCGGGTGGCCATTAGCTCAGGGGATCCAGCCTGGGTCTGTGATGGAATTCAATAACTGGACCTGAAGTCTCAAAAAAAAACAAAAAAAACCAACTCCTCAGGCACCTTTCGGTTTACTCTCAGGCCGGGAAAACACCGTGGGAGCCAGAGGCTGCGGTAGGGGAGCAGGCGGGCGTGTGGACATGGACAGTGTGACGTGTCTCCTTGTGTGGGTTTTGAGGCTATAAAAGGTTGGGAGGGAACCAGTCCCTTCCAGAAGCAACCGACTAAGAATAGCAAGGATAGCAGCCAGGAGACACCGTGGAATCGCCCCCAGACCACAGACCCAGGCTGGGCTTCTCAGAAGGAGTGGCGGGGAGGGCACTGGACTTCCCTGCTGGTCAAGTGGTGAAAAATCCCGCCTGCCGACGCAGGGGACACGGTTCGATCCCTGGTCCGGGAAGAGCCCGTGTGTCACGGGCCAACTGAGCGTCTGCATCACGACTACTGAAGCCAGCGTGCCCTAGCGTATGCACCAAGATGAAGAGAGGCACCCGACCTCTGCAACTAAAGAAAGCCCGTGCGCAGCAATAAAGACCCAGCGTGGCCATTAATTCATTAATTAAGAGGGGCCAGGTACAGGGGGACCTTAAACACCCTGCCTGGAGCATCACCACCAGCACCAAGAGTCTCCAGCTCCCCTGCAAGACCACGGTTTAGGAGGTCAGTCAGCCCTGCAGAGGGCTTTCCTGGAGGCCCAGACGGTAAGGAACCCGCCTGCCAATGCAGAAGACGCAGGCTTGACCCCTGGGTGGGAAAGATCCCCAGGAGAAGGGAATGGCAACCCACTCCCGTGTTCTTGCCTGGAGAATCCCATGGACAGAGGGGCCTGGCAAGCTGCAGTCCATGAAGTCACAGAGTCGGACACAACTTAGCAACAAAACAACGTCTCTGTTTAACAATGTGGTTCCATCTAGGACATCCCAGGACATTCAGAGGACAGAATCACCTCCCTGGACCATCACTTGAGTCACCTGGGTTTTATTTCTGGTGGTTTTCACCTAGGACAGGGGCCAACAACTGATGGACCAGAAGCCAAACCCAACGGGCTGCCTGTTTCTGAAATAAAGTTTTATCAGTACACAGCCGCACTCCTGTGTCTACCCACTGGATGTGGCAGCTCTCACGCTAAGACAGGAGTCGAGCTGTCCCAGCAGCCCCCAGAGCCTGGAAGTATTTACTGTCTGTCTTTCTTGTCCGACTCTTCTACAACCCTGCGGACTGTAGCCCGCCAGGCTCCCCCATCCATGCGATTCTCCAAGTGAAAAACACTGGAGTGGGTTGCCATTTTCTTCTCCAGGGGATCTTCGCAATCCAGGGATCGAACCTGCGTGTCCTGCATGGACAGTTTGTTTACGAGTTGCCTGGCAAGCCCGAACCCTGTCTATCTAATAATCTTTCACAAAAACGCTGGCGGGCCCCCTAACCCAAAGAACAAGTCCCACTCAGTTACGGCCCCCAGCGGGAGCTTGAACGAGAAAGCAAATGAGATGACCTTAAAGCCTGTCCACGCCTCAACCCAAACAGGGAAAAAACATTTGGGATTTCTATAAGAGGGACATGTCTGGGTTGGGGCCTTAATTACACTGTTCTTCACCTTTCTACCTCTTCACCAACTCCTACAGCCTCAACAATCGCCTCTCAGCATGTGTTCTCCCGAGGCTTCAGTCGAAGCATTTGGACTCAGAGTTTCCACTGAGAAACCTCAATCCCACAGGAGAGCAGGAGGCAGGCATGACCTCACAAGGCAAGTCCATCCCCAGCGCCAGGAAGACGACTGCCCTGTGAGAGGCCGGGGTGGGGGTGACCCGCAGGGCCCTGCAGCGCTAATGTGCAGACCGCCAGCGCCCACGGGTCGGGAGAGGCGCAAAGGCAGATTCAGCATCAGTTGCCCGAGGGCGTTAAGCGAGGACTCAGCAATTTTTCTCAAGTGTGCTCCATTGAAACCTCTGATAAGAAGTCTCTTGGAAGGGGGAAAATAATGGCATGCATTTTCAATAGTCAGATATATATATAAAACATACTTTTATCTGAAAAAAAAATAGTGACAAACAAGGCCCCTTTAAAACAAGAGGACCGAACCCCCCTCCCCCACCCCGGAACCGCTGTATGCGGGTTGCACTTTATGTGGAATCCAACTGTAAAATGCTCTGGGGGCTGCGCAAGAAATCCAAGACAAAGTAGCTAGGATTGAAAAGGCCCTGACTGGCTATTATCGACACAATCGGAGAGGAAATGTTTAACCCAAACCCGCGGCAGGCTGAGATTTTCTCAAGCATGACTCATCTCCCCTTCTGCCTCAACTGTGGGTGTTGGATGAATGCTGAGTCCCCAGGGGCTGCCTTTATATTTCATTGTGCTAATTTTTTAAATTTTTTTATTTATTTATTGGCCACGCCGAGTGACATGTAGGGTCTTAGTTCCCTGACCAGGGATCAAACCCGTGACTCCTGCGGTGGAAATGCAGAGTCCTAACCACTGGACCACCAGGGAAGTCCCGGGACTGCCTTTCTATTTTACTGGCTTATTGTTATTTATTTATTTACTGGTCACGCTGCAAGGCTTTCAGGATCTTAGTTCCCAGACCAGGGATTGAACCCACGTCCCCTGCAGTACAGGCACGGAGTCTGAGCCACTGGACCATCAGGAAAATTCCAGGGCTGCCTTTTTAAAGGGGACACAGGTGGCCAAGAAGGATGCCCAGTCTGTCTCTCCTCAAACTCTTCCCAGCATCTATTCACAGTCACCCAGTAGACGTGTGGTTCAGACTTAAATTCAAGCTTAACCAGAAGAACTGAAAATCTATGGGATCTGCTGAGACCATCCAGGTCTGCTCTCTCGTCTCCTGGCAACTTTCAAGTATACGGTCGAGTATTATTAACTCTAGTCCGTACGCTGTGCTTTATACCCCCGGATCTTACTCATCTGGTAAACAGAAGCTTGTGTTCTTTGACCACCTTTATCCGTTCCCCCAACCCACCCACCCCTGGCAACCACCAGTCTAAGCTCCGTAAGTTGTTTTTTTAAGATTCCACATTTAAGTGAGATCATGCAGTATTTGCTTTTTCTGTCTGACTTATTTCACTTAGAATAATGCCCTCTAGCTTTACCCACGTTGTTGTAAATAACAGGATTTCCTTTTTTAATGCTTGAGTAATATTCCATTGTGTATGAGTGTGTATATGTATTATGTTTTCTTTATCTATGCATTCATTAATGGACACTCAGATTATTTCTACATCTTGGCCAAGATAAATAATGTTGCAGTGAACTTGGGGGTTCAGATATTTCTTCAAGATAGTGATTTCATTTCCTTCATATCTATGCCCAGAAGTGGAATCATTAATCATAAGATGGTGCTATTTTTAATTTCGTGAGGTTTTCTATCCTGCCTGCACCAGTTCACATCCCACCAGGGAGCCTCTTTTCTCCGCATCTTCCCCAGAGTTCCTCTCTTAGCTTTCAAACCTTCCAGATGTGAGATGATATCTGACTGCATTTTTTAAAATAATACGTTCTTTTTTAAAAGACTTTTTTTTTTTTGATGTGGACCATTTTTAAAGTCCTTGTTGAATTTGTTACGATATCACTTCTGTTTTATGTTCTGGTTTTCTGGCCACGAGGCACATGGGATCTTAACTCCCTGAGTAGGGATTGAACTGGTAGCCCCTGCATTAGGAAGGCACAGAGTTAACTGCTAGACCACCAGGGAAGTCCAGATCATAATATAGATATCATTCACTTCCCCTGTTCCAACTGTTAGTCTGGACTCATCTACACCCCTAACAATACTCACCATAAGCTCTGGATATGTTGGCCTTTCTTTGGAATTCTTCTTCAAGCTTAAAGGGAAAAAAAAAATCACATTAAAATCTAGAAACCATCTGTGTTTCCACTAGACTAGGATCTCAGAACCTGCAGAAGACTAAGCAGAACCATCCTTAAAAATGTGCTGAAAACATAAACCCCCGCCTTGACTTTCCTCTTTAGCTACACCTATCAACGGTGTTTCCAATCACTCTGTACCTCAACAGGAAGGGTAAGGCTGTGTGTGTTTACTTTCGTTGTGTTTCTTTACCAAAGACATAAAAACGAGCTTTTATTATATATCAAAATACATATTCACGTTCCTTCAAAACACCTTTCAATTCATCCCTTCTTGCAAACACACTGGCAGGTGTTTCTTAAATCATGTTTGTTATCTCCTCACTGTCTCCAATAGCTGGTTCTCTCTGCTTCTGATCCCCTTGCAGGCACAATCTGCTTTTATGTGCTCCCTGCTGAACCTGCTTGAGACGGAAGCAGTACGGACGTAGCATGTGCCTAAGGTCACGCTGCTGTCTGACGACCTCCCGGCTGCTGACCAAGAGAGCACGCTGGCCGTGGACTCAGCACGCTGGCCGTGGACTCAGCAGGGCTTCTTCTTAGAAACACCTGGTGGACCTGCGCTGCCGCGAAGGGGCGCCCGGCACCCAGCTGTCTGCCCACAGAACTCTTAATCACACCCAATACCAGAGGCAACAGTCGTAAAACCCCAGAGAGAAGAGACCCACCCCTCCATCCACCTGCAGCCTGAAAATAGAAGAGGAAAGAGTTTGCTTGGCGCTGGAACCCCAGGCTACAGAACGGAGGGAAGGATGATTTTGAAAAGTACGATCGGGAGGCAGCCTGCAGAGCCCTCTGCCCACGGGCCCTAAAATCATCCATGAGGGGAAAGGACGTCTGTCTGGCGTGGAAGAGACTCAAAAGGGGACGGGATATTGGGTGGCCAGGATCTGCGCTAATGGATCACCTGGAGCAAGTGAGACCTGTGAGGCGTGCCGTGAGCCCCGCTCCTCAGAGATAACAACGATCGAGGGCAGGCCCAGAGGCAGAGCCAGAGAGGGAAACGGCTGAAACACTCAGGGCTGGAAAAAACTCGAAATGGAAAAAAAAAGGAAGCTTTTTGAAGCAGAACAGCCGAGAGCAGCCTCCCCAGGGACTCCAGGCAGTGCCGCGGTGGAGGGCGGGGAGCCTGAGACGCAGGACAGCTGCCAACTGCGGGTGGATCCAGCACCCGGCGACCTCAACGCCTGGACCGCCGGAGAGAGAGTGCTCCGTCTCAACTGAGGCTCAAATGAGAATGCGGGAGAAAGCAGGCCAGCAACGCCACGGCCAGGCTGGCGCGGGAAGGCGTGTCTGAGCGAAACGAGGCGACCTCCAGCCCCCACTGATGACGCCTTGTGTGCCTACGTGCTGAGCCTCTAGAAGGCTCCACCAGCGGTTCCCAGCTGCAGGTGGCCTTGCCCTCCAAGGCACACTCGGAGACGTCTGCAGGCACTTCTGGTTAACGCAGCTGGGCGTGTTGGGGGCTGTAATTCACATCTAATAGGTAGAGACCGAGGCTGTTGCTCAACATCCCATAATGCCCAGGACAGTTCCCCAACAATAACTGTGATTTATCTTTATTTCTTTTTTCGAGAAGTATAGGAAAAAACACAACTATTGGAGAACGACTGCTCTACAATCTTGTGTTGGCTTCCGCCACACATCAAGATTTATCTTTTAAAAAAAGAATTCCTAAAACTCCAAAGATTGCTGGTGGACAGGTTATTTTTGACTTATGGGCTCTGATTAGAAAGCTCAAAATGCACAAGCAGTACTGCAGAGCATTGACGGAAAATATTTACACAGCGCACCGAGGCTGTTTATTGATTTAATACAACTGATACAACCCATTCTCTCCACCTTTTAAATCAAGAACACTTCAAAACACGGGCTAAGAATAGCAAAATACTCAGGGTGAGGTTAGGGAGAAAAGCAAATTTTCCACGTTGAATAGGAAGCACTTGAAATTCAGTACAAAATAACAAGTGCGGAGTTCAAAGCTACACCAATTTCTTTTTGGATCCGAGTCAGACTTTTGAATTTTCAAGTGGCTTGTCGTTTTCAAGCGTGCAATTAGCTAACTGCCCTAATTCCCCTTCCAAATGCCACAGCACACACTCCTGACCGTAGCTGACACCAAGACGCGGCTTCGTGCCGTGCTGAGAACTGCTAGCTTCAGGCTTGTGCTGAGCCGAGGGTTTCTGCCCCTTTGAATCCCCCCAAGCTGACCGTTTCCCAGAAGGACTCCTGGGAGCGTCCGCAGAAGAAAAACACTGCTCGCCTCCCGACCCACACGTTTGTCCTGAGCTACGTAAATACCCAGGGCCTCTTTTCACTGTCCTTCCTGAACAAGCCAGCAACTATATCTGATCGTCTCTGTTCTGCGCCTGCTTCTCTGAGTCAGACAGGACCAGCGTCTGGGCGGGTCTCTGGCCACCAAGGGGCTTCGGGCCGGGGGACAGGGCACTGAGCTCTGAAACAGGCCTGAGCCTCAGCAGGAAGGAAGTGGAGCTTTGGGGCATTTGGCTCAGCTGGTCTCCAGGGAGCTACTCTCGCTCCCCAAGCCTGTGTCCAACTGAAAGAGGTTATGGTGAAAGAATGCAAGCCTGCCAAGATTCCATTTTTGCAGAAACTCTGTGAAACCTTCTGCAGGACCAGGGTGTAGGACTTTTCCATTTCTCTGCTGAGAAACGGCCCGTGTCTCCTGAGATAAGAAAGCCACGTGGGCCTCCCTGTGGCTCAGTGGTGAAGAATCCGCCTGCTAGAGCAGGGGACATGGCTTCGATCCCTGGTCCAGGAAGATCCCACACGGCGTGGGGCATTAAGCCCGTGTGCGCCCCAACTCCTGAGCCTGCGCTTTGGAGCCCAGGAGACACAATCCTGAGTCCATGAGCTGCAACTGCTGGAGCCCACGCGCCTGGGGCCCCTGGTCCGCAGCGAGAGAGGCCACCGCGGGGAGAGGCCTGCTCACCGCAGCCGGAGAGGAGCCCCCGCGCTCTGAAACCACAGGGGGCCCGAGCAGCAGCGAAGATGCGGCACCGCCAGAAATAAACAGACAAATAAACGAAATTACATTAGAAAAAGAAAGCCACGTGTAGGAGGAAAAAGTAAGAAAACGTCATTCGCTGGTGCTTATTTGAAAATAAGCACAGAAAGGAAGGGTTTGTAAGAAATCTCTGTTGTTGCTGTTTTCTACAAGTTCCTATGGAGTAAATGTCTTGACTCGCTTTTCTTTTCTCTCTGCCCCGCACTCCCTCTGATGTTACTGCTAAAGAAAGATACCAGTGGAACCCTGGGCTCTATCAGGTGATAAGTTGGAGAGTGATAGCAGGTAAGTGCCCCTGCTCCACCACAAAAATCCGATCACGGCATCCGGTCCCATCACTTCATGGCAAATAGAAGGGGAAAAAGTGGAGACAGTGACAGATTTTATTTTCTTGAGCTCCAAAATGACTGCAGACAGTGACTGCAGCCACAAACTTAAAAGATGTTTGCTCCTTGGAAGACTAGCTATGATAAACCTAGACAACGTATTAAAAAGCAGAGACATCACTTTGCCAACAAAAGTCCATATAGTCAAAGCTCTGACTTTTCCAGTAGTCATGTACTGATGTGAGAGTTGGACCGTAAAGAAGGCTGACTGCCAAGGAATTGATGCTTTCAAATTGTGGTGCTGGAGAAGACTCTTGAGAGCCTGAGAGTTCCTCGGGCTGCAAGGAGATCCAACCAGTCCATCCTAAAGGAAATCAACCCTGAATATTCACTGGAAGGACTGATGCTGAAGCTGAAGCTTCAATACTTTGGCCACCAGATGTGAAGAGCTGATTCATTTGGAAAGACCCTGATGCTGGGAAAGATTGAAGGCGGGAGGAGAAGGGGACGACAGAGGATGAGATGGTTGGATGGCATCACTGACTTGATGGACATGAGTTTGAGCAAGCTCTGAGAGTTGGTAATGGACAGGGAGGCCTGGCATGCTGCAGTCCAAGGGGTCACAGAGTCAGACACGACTGAGCGATTGAACAACCACAAGAACTGTCAGCTGACCAGCAGTGACCAGAGGGGTGTGACCACCAGGGGGAAGCCCCGGATGAAAAGCACAGCAGCAGAGGATGCAGCTCCTGGGACTAACTTGGGAGAAAATGATCGGGCAAAGGCAGCCTCGTGGGGACGGCCATGAAGACGTCCTGCGCCCTGCGGGCAGGGTCGGCCAGGCTGCAACACGGACAGCAGTCACACAGGAAGCTGCAACTTTCACAAATGTGTGCAAACATTAAAATTAGGAAACATTTAGTTTTTCAAGGCTTTCATTTAAAAAAATAAAACCTGTGAAAAGCTTTAACACTCTGACTCTAGCGGAAGTTCTAAGTAAGAAGAAAAATCGATGAAAGATAAATAAAATAATTGAATGGTTACTCAATAAATTGTATAAGAGAAGTAGCTTTCTGAACAGCAGGCAGCTGACAACGGGTCCACAGATCGTAGGCATAAGTCAGGGGTTCTGATCCCAGCCCTCCAGGAAAATGATGTGAGAACATCTGATCAACCCAGGTATTCAGGACCACCCCATCCCAGACCAATTAAATCAGAATCTCTGAGGCCAAGCAGTACGTGATGCACATTTGAAAGGTCTGTTATGTTTAAAAGTCGGCAACCGGAGTTGAGAACCTTTAGGTTAAACTGGTGATTCACACCAGGCCACTGGGCTTTGTCAAGCTTTTCACACCAGCTTTGTTCTTATCAAAGTTTTCTGAAGTTCCCAGAATCTTGGGGAAAAGGGAGGTGGGAGAAAGGTTATGAGGCAGAGAGTCTGAAAAGCTTCCTTAAATAATATCCTTCCTCCTTACCACCCCTCTTGAGAAGGATGGGTCTGAACCATCCAAGATGAATCATCCCTTTCCTCCGTGACCTTTAAACCCTCGAGGACAAGGAAAACAAACAACAGACTCCAGGTTCTTGAAACCAGAAGGCACAATCCTGAAGCCATCTCAACCAGGCAGGTGTAACCCCACACCTGGCAGGCTCAGTCAAGGAGAGCAGAGAGGGGACATCACCCAGGCGTCCAGAGGATGCACTGATACGTATCCAGAGGCGCCCAACAGGCGGGCGTCACACAGTCCATCACGCCAGCCTCTCCGGCCATTCAGCCAAGACTAAAACAAAAACAATGGCAAGTCAGCCTCACGCATCCTTAGGGGACAGTGCCAGGGGTGACGGGCCTAGAGCTGGTGGAAAACCCAAGGGGCCTTCGCTTCACAAGCAACAGACAGCCGCTTGGTGTTACCACATTTTGCAGTAAAAGCTGCATTCAGAAAGCTTCTTCCAAAGTGCGTGGAGGCCAAGAAAGGGTAACCTTGGGGGAAGCCAGCCTCTCCAACGAGCGGCAGAACAGCAACCCCTTCCTTAGCGCTGAGTGAGCAGAGTCGGACCCCCGGTGACCACAGCCCGGCTTCCCAGCATCTCCAACGGCCTCTGCCCCAGCTCACAGCTGCACGGTGGGCGCCCAGGATCACCACCTGCGATCCGTCACTGCACCTTCTTTCCAGCGATGTAAATGATCATCAGTATCAAGTCATGCCGGGCACCCTGGGCCCCGTGCAGGCGGAAATCACTAGGTTTTCCAGAGCAAACAATCCCCTCTCCTAGTTTCCTCAGTTGCACCAGCGACTCCCATGAAAACAAACTCACAGCATCGGTACACCTCCTTCCGTCTCTCCACTCCACCTTTATTTTCCCTTCTCAGACGTGCCCCCGCCCCAGCCGGTACCGTCCACTATCCACTTCCGGACAAGCAGAGCCGGCAGGGAGCACGTCTAAGAGTCCGCCTAAAACACCAGGATCACTCGGTGAGGCTTCCAGGTGCCTAACGGCAGCTCTGAACGCAGCCTCCGTCTTCTCACCCATCGTATCTACTCCACCCGAGCCCTCCACTGGTCCCCCACCTCTCTCTCTACGCTCTGGTCCACATCAAATGGCTCAGCCTCTGTGAAGGAGTTTCCCACTCCTGTGAGAGGGTGCGTGAGGTTCCTCCCGCCGGCAGCACCTTCTCCTCCTCCACTCCCTTTTCCCCAGCACACACCTCATCTGGTCCCAGCCCGGGATGTATCTCCTCCAGAAACTCTCCCCTAAGGCCCTTGCTCTGAGTTCCCCCAAAGACCCAGTGCCCATCTCCCGTCTGGACCTGGGCTAGAATGGCAGAGCGGGGACACTCCCCCCTGTGGCTCTGAGCTTAGTGGGGACCAGGCAGAGCCGTCTTTGTTGCTTAGCAACAGGATACACTCCCTCCACACTGGCGGTGGACATGGGCACGTGGATGAGACCGATGGCGGGAGTCAGGAGGACCCCGTCCTCCTTCACCCCGGCTTCTGGGAGGCGGGCCCTCTTACCACTGTGAGGTAAAGTCAACAAACTCCTCAGAGAACTTGTCTGCGGGCAGCTGCGGCGACGGCTCCTCCACCACCTGTTTGAGCTGCTGGAAAGGAGTCCCCCACGAGTCGTAGGGAAAGCGGAGGATGGCCAGCTCGATCTGGAGGGGAGAGGCACACAGGAGATGAGAGCTGACTCTGGGCTATCATGTTCCCGGGGCATCCGCAGGGGCGTCCACGTTGTCCCAGGAGAGCCGGAGGGCAACCGGGAGGGGAGAGTCGGGTGAAACGTGCAGAGGGGACACCAGTGATGCCATGTTCGCTAGCGGCGTGCTTCCACGTCCTGGAGCTAGGGGTGACATCGTCCAGGAGACAGAGCCTGTATAAAAGCGGGTCTTCACTAAGAGGAAATCCACCCTGAATATTCACTGGAAGGACAGATGTTGAAGATGAAACTCCAATAGTTTCGCCACCTGATGCAAAAAGCTGACTCATTTGAAAAGACCCTGATGCTGGGAAAGATTGAAGGCGGGAGGAGAGGGGATGACGGAGGGTGAGATGGTCGGATGGCATCACCGACTCAACGGACACGGGTTTGAGCAAGCTCCGGGAGCTGGTGATGGACGGGGAGGCCTGGCGTGCTGCGGTCCCGGGGGTCGCAGAGTCGGACACGACTGAGCGACTGAAGAACCGCCTCACTGACACCCAGAGCGGCTCTTCGTGGAACTGGGGGCCAGCTGCGTGCAACCTCAGGGCGAAGGCGGCCAGGTTTTCAAACGCTGGTCTAACAGGCAGCTCTCGCCCGAAGGCGCTTACCTCTGGTGCCACCTGCTGGCCACGCGTGGGAATGGGACCAGACTGGGCCAAGCGGCTGCTCTGGTTTTGGACTTGCGTGAAGGCACTTTGCCGTTACAGGATCACGTGCCTTCTGGGCAAGGATGTGAAATAGCTCACGGGATTTACTCAGCTGCTGTGTCTGGGAAGGAACCAGGACCACCACGGGTCCTTCCAGACCTCGGTGATACACTGAGAATTTACGATCAGCACTTACAAATCAGGCTCTCACTGCATATGACCTCGGGGCTGTGCCTGAGGAAATTAGCCTGTTTGTTAGTATGTGTTGGGGCTCCACCTGTAGTCAACAGCCAAGACTTCTCCCATAACCATATTCCGAGAAGCTGAGCCCATGTCTGGCATAGCAAAGCTCTCCATATCAGGGTCGAGGACGGGTGGCAGAGATTGGGAGTTTGGGATGGACGTGCTGTATTTAAAACAGACAACCCACGAGGACCTGCGGGACAGCACAGGGAAGTCTGCCCAACGCTCTGTAATAACCCAAGAGGGGAAGGAATCGGAAACAAACGGATGCAAGTGTAACTGCATCACTTCACTGTACACCCAAAACCAACACAGCACTGTTAATCAGCTATGTGGCTGAGAGGGCAAAGAATCTGCCTGCAATGCGGGAGACCTGGGTTCAATCCCTGGGTCAGGAAGATCCCCTGGAGAAGGGAACAGCCACCCACTCCAGGGTTCTTGCCTCGGAAATCCCATGGACAGAGGAGCCTGGCAGGCTGCAGTCCATGGGGTTGCACAGTCAGAAAAAACTAAGCAACTAACAAAACATGCTCTGATATAGAACACAAATTTTTTTAAAAGCCCTATCAAGGTCCGCATAGATTTGTGCTCTTGGAGTAGCCTAGGCTTCTGCATGCTTGATTAAATTTAAACCATAAGGATAGCTCTCAGGAACAGCAGCCAGACCCTCTCGTTTTACAGCTGAGGACAGCGAGAGTGTCGGTGTGACTCCATCAGTCCCTCAAGGGCACACACCTCCTTGGAGGTAGAATGGGGAGAACTGGGGTTTGCCCAGTTCTGGCTCAGGGTTTCTGCCACCCCGCTCTGCAGAAAATCTTGCTCTCTCAGATCAGCTTCAAGGGCGTCCACCTCTTGCTCTTGAGGTCCACCCCACCCCGGCCTCACGCCCCAACCCCCCTGCCCCCCCGGTCCACAATTACTATCACACACTACCATGGTGATGCCCAAACTCCAGATGTCAGACTTCACGCTGTATCCCTTCTGGTTGAGCTCTGGGTTTATTCTCTCGGGCTGGAAAGGAGACAGAAAAAGACAACTGAGATGACATTCTTGGCTCAGAAAAGTCTCGGGGGTGGGGTGGCAGTGGCCGCCAAGTGAGCTGTTGTGAGCCGTTAACATGCCTCCCAGGCCAGTAGTCTCACTCACGACAGTGAAGACTGACGTCTCCACGGCGTTTACAGACATCTTTTCTTGGAGACGACAATGCATCAGAGTCCCCTCACAACTCACAAGCAACTTCAGTTTGGCCTTACAAAGAGCATGCTATACAGCATACCATTACTCTGCCCGCCTGGAGGTTTCCTCGTTTAAAAGACTGCCAACTTCCTTGGCGGTCCAGTGGTTAAGCATCCTCCTCCTGGGCGGGGGACACAGGTTCGATCCCTGGTCGGGGAACTAAGATCCTGTAGGCTGCAAGGCAACTAAGCCTGCACCCTGCAACTAAGACTCAAGGCAGCCAAATAAATGAATAAAATACCCACAGTCCAGACTCAGTAAAAACAATCCGCAAGGGTCGCTGGGCTACTGTCTGGTATTAACAGACCTCAACCACTTTTAGGTAATCGTGGCCACAAAGCTTTTAAATTCCAAGCACGTGTTCATTTCCAAATAGAATGTTTACAGTAGAAGTCCCTTAACTTAAAGGGAATCCCAAGGTCTCTGCCAAGAGCAATGAATCTTCATAGCTACGAGGCTCCCTCGAGACTAACCTAGTGGACTTGCTTGGGGAATTGAAATTCTTCTCTCTGTTCTACTCTCAACAAACAAGGTAGCACACCCCTGCAACCCAGAGTGGAAAACTGGGTGAGCTTTATGTAATGCTTTTTCAAAGAGTATACCTCTTCCTCTGATTTTTTTTTTTATTATTAATGTAAGAGAAGGAAGGGACTCGGGATTTTAGACAGGAGATATCTCAGAAGAAGGTGCAGATACTTCTTGTGCCTTGGGCATATTTCAATGCTCCCTCCTTGGCCGCCCAGGTCGTGTTTCCTGGCAGGATTTGAAGGCAGCTGCACTCCCAATGCCAACCCCAGGCGCTGTACTCACGGCCATGTACGGTTTGCATCCGGCATCGATGGTTTTAGCCACGGAGTCGACCAGGTAGCCGCTGATTCCGAAGTCGCACATCTTCACCTGGCCCAGGGCGTTGATGAGCACATTGGAGGGCTTGACGTCTGCAAGCGGAGAAGGTTGGGAGACGGTTGGGAGCCTGGGGGCGCAGCAGCAGCTCTCTGCCACCAGGGGGCCTGGAGCCTCCACGCCCGCCCCCCGCCCCCACCCCAACCCCGGCTCGCCCTCGAGGCTCATCTGGAGGAGCAATGCCACCCCAGTTACACAATGCAAACTACACTCCGATAGAACGTGACTTCTTTAAAAAAGAAGGAAAAACACCAAAGCTTAGAAGAAAGGGGGAAAAGCAACTTGATTTCCTTGTCATTAAAATCTTTCAATGTTTTTCTTTTTATCGTGGTGGAAGTCCCATAACATAAAGCATACTGTTTTTACCATATAACTGTCCAGTTCAGAGGCACCAGGTATATTCATACTGTCGTGCGACACTCACCGTCATCCATCTCCTGGATTTCCCACCTTCCTAAACTGAAGCTCTGTCCCCATTAAACACTCAGCACCCATTCTCCCTGCCCTCCCCACCATCCTGACTTGGCATCTACCAGTGTACTTTCTGACACCATCAATTTGACTATTCTAGGTCCCCTGTATAAGTGGCACCATCAAGCAGTATTTGTCTGCACCTACTACATACGCGAATGCATTTTTAAGGTTGACTTAATATTTTTACTTCGGTTTACAAAAGCAGAGTTTACTAAGTTGACTTGGGTTACAGAAAACTTAAAAAGAAAGACCAAGGACATACTTATATATACATGAAAGACAGACCCTAAAATGATAGTAACAGTGTTCAGCATGAGTAGAGTCACAAAAATGTTTCTCATTAGCTCATCCAGTCTCATGTCATTAATTCTGGTTCTGATGGATCTTGGGTGAGTGGTCTGCTTTCTATTTCATGCTCTGTCCTTCTCGTCAGACTGAGAATCCATCAATGGAAACAACTGCTTCCTCTAATTTCTCATCTTCATCGCTCCCGTACAGGTGGTGAGACCTTAGACCTTGATGCCTGAGTGGAACGCCCAGTTCCCTGGGCAGACTGTCTCTGTTACGCTAGAGGCACAAGCCCTAGAGATCTGCCAATTACCACGCTGTTCCTGCCACGAACAAGACCGTGTTGTGCCCCCAAGCATTTATTATGAAGGTAGAGCTTGTGCTAAGGGTTCTGATGATGATAATGCTTTAAAAGCCCAGTTCATAATGATCTATTCTGCATTCAGTGGGCTGAAACGGCAGACTGAGACATAATACATCAAATATGCTTCTGGAAGAGCTGTGTCAGAAGTCACAGGCGTAACTCGTCATAAACCCAGATATTCCAGACCAGGAGGCGGGTCACAGAACATGCATGTGGGCAGAGTGGACTTCCCAGAGGAAAGAATCTGCCTGCAATGCAGGAGACGCAGGTTCGACCCCTGGATCGGGAAAATCTCCTGGAGGAGGAAATGGCACCCCGCTCCAGTACTCTTGCCTGGAGAATCCCATGGACAGAGGAGCCTGGTGGGCTACAGTCCACGGGGTCACAAGAGTCGGACACGACTGAGTGACTAAACCACCATCACCACAGAGGGTTTACTTCACAGTTCTTAAATGAGCTCTTCAGCCTGAAAAGATAAAAGACACCCTCCCAGCCAGATGAACCATCATTATGTATGGATGATGAAATCAGAAATTTAGAAAATAAAGTTAATTTTCTTCCTAAGTGACACGTTTCACAAAGGGCACATACTCAAAAGAAAAAAGTTATTCGAAAAACTTTAAAAATTATCCTTTGTAATTTTCCCTTAAACAGCAAATACACAAATTTCATTATCTTCTACAGTTTATAAACATTCTCTGCTATGAATGAACTGTTTCATAACTTTGAAAAAAGTCTTTAAAATTCAGCTTCACATTGTGGGTAATCTGCGTCCCTTTTCTTAACTGGATTCCTCCCCACTTTCTTTTTGACCTCTTCTTCCTTGACATTTTTCCCATTTTTGATAGTAATAGTCAGTAAAAGCCATCGTAACAGGCATGTTTTTTTGAGACATCTTACGTTATTTCAGGCTCAGAGCATAACAATGATCAGGTCACAAGAACCTATCAGCTACCAACACTGTTCATACATTTTTTGGAAAACTGAGTGTACATGCCTCTTCCGAGACGCATTCCTTGACTCTGCTCACCCAGTGCTGATCACGTCCATGTTTCCTATTCTACCTACACAACTTCGGTGGTTGGTACTTTCGTATTTCTAACGTGGGTTTTTTCCCCCCATGTGTCTGTTGTATATTTGCCTCACTCCCCTACCAAGAACTCCTATGTAGAATTTGGATAAGAATATATATTCTTCATAGATACCTGTCAGGACATCTATTGTAGTGCTGTATAAATACAGTGCTGTATAAATGCTGGGAAATAACTACACAAGTTACACGGATGGATGAAGGAATGGAAGAAAGATGGAAGAAAGGATGTCTGGGTGGATGGATGGATGGATGGACGAATGGATGGATGGATGGATGAAGAGGTAACATGTCAGCAGAGAGACAGAGAGGAGGGAGCAGAGGAAGACACATCTGCCAGCCTTTTCATCCTGTCCTGACTCCCGCTGTCTGAAAGGTCCACGCTTTATACCAGAACTTCTCAGAGCCTCACGGCCCAAGAATTACCCAGAGATCTTGTTAAAAACGGAGGTTCTGACTCAGTTAGTCTTGGGACTCAAGATTCTGATTTTCTAACAAGCTCTCTGGCAATGGCCAATACTAGGGGAATTTTTATCATATTCTCTAAAATTCTCAGTGGGTAATAGTGCCACTCTCCTTGGCAACAGGCAGTTCATATTCAAGTTAGGCCTAATACACAGCTCACGTCCCCTGATGTCCTCAGACATAATCATGAGCAGCTCCTTATATGATCTGCTATCCAATCCCAAACGAAAACCCTGCCTCTGTTCTCTTGCCTGACTCAATTTCATCCACTGGGGAGAAAAAAAAAATAATTAAACTCAGGTGAAAGAAATAAAATTGATAAAAGGAACGGCTAAGGCAGCGTCACAGACACTTACCTCGGTGAATGACAGACAGCTTACTGTGTAAATGTTCTAAGGCTTTTACAATCTGCAAGAGAAACACAAGGTGGATTTATGTCCCCCATCACTGGAAAGCAACTGCATCTTAAGTAAATCCACACTTATTATCCCTGGCTTACAGTCCCAAGGGGAGGTATTTTCTCCAACAGTGGTATTCCTAGCCAGGAAAATACATGGAAGTCGTACAAATTAGACCCTGCCCACCAGAGAGATGACGTCAGAGTGCAGAGAGGTGGTCTCACTGGGATGTTCTGCTTCTTGAACTTGACCCCCAGCGTCTTTTCCCCTCCTCCCTCCTGGGCCTCAGTAGCCATGAAGGGAGCGGCTTCCTTGTCTTCTTGCCCCCTCCTGTGCCTATTAATCCTAAGAAAACATTTACAACTCCACAAACGAAAATCAAGATAAACCAGCATCAGAACACAGACACCAGGAACGTGGTCCTAGCCGATGAACGTGCCGCTCAGAGGCACTTCAGCTGAAAGCCTCCCAGGCCGGGTCAGGAGCAGAACCTCGTGGAGGTCAAGCCCAGAAAGAGAAGCATCCATCGATCCATCCACAGACGCACTCGTGCAATCAACACACACAGACAGGACGGGTGCTCCGGTCCAGGCGGTGGTTCCGGTACGGAGGAAACAGACACACATGAGGCCCAGACTTCCCCACGCTCCTTGGATGGGGCTGGGGCTCGCGATGTACTCACAGAAACTGCTATTTTCCCTAAGATGTCCTCTGGAATTGTTTGGCCTTTATCGATCACTTGTTTGTAGAATTTATCTAGGGACGTGTCCATGAGCTCCATGCAGATCCAGACATCCCCCTGGAGGCCGGTTGGTTCGGAGACGGTCAGAGAGGATGGAAAGGGGAGAAAAGGAGGAAGCAGTTAGCATCTGTCAGGAGGAACGGGCCACTTCCTGCTTGAGTTTTTGGAGGAAATGCACAGTGTCCTTTGAGATTTCAATGAAATTTATAAATGGGCAATATTACCTCCAAAAAGCAAGCTAGCAGACAGCCAAACAGACCGGCCTGTGATCACCCACTCCTTAATGAAAACTAGGTTCTAAATGCTAACACCCACAAGCTATAAGATCCCAGGAACCCAAGCCTTTACAGTTACTGTTATCTAAGACAGCAGTCTCCAGGCTTTTTGGCAACAGGGACCAAGTTCGTGGAAGATAATTTATCCATGGACCAGAGTCGGGTGGGGGGGGCGTGGTTTCAGGATGATTCAAGCGCATTACGTTTATTGTGCACTTGGCTTCTATTACTATCACATCAGCTCCACCTCGGATCATCAGGCATTAGATCACGGAGGTGGGGGGCCCTGCTCTGGGAGTTATGACCACTATGCCTGACTGCCCACACTGACCACTGGCAACAGTTTATCATTTAAAGGCTGGTTATAAGAGGGAGAGGAAAACAGATAACAATAAGGACCTATGTATAGCATAGGAAACTCTACTCAAATACTCTGTATTACAAGGCTATGAGGGGAAAAATATCTTAAAAAGTGTGAGTATATATACACATAGAGCTGATTCACTGTGTTGTATAGCAGAAACTAACAACACTGTAAATCAAGTATTCCCTAATAAAAAATTGTTTAGAAAGGGGAGGGGATGACAATTCATATCATCGTAAAGTGAAAAGCAGAATTAGAAAAAAGAAGCAAATATGAGGCCATCCACTGTACAAGGCTGCCTGGAGCTTATCATGAGGCCAAAAGATCAGAGCATTTGAGATTTCAAAGGACTGATACAAATCCATCTGTAAATTGATAGAGACCGTTCTGCCAAGAGAGACAAACCAGAACAGGAAGGAGAAAGGGAGCCCCAGCATTTTGAAAGGGCTAAACACATTGGAAAATATCATGGTTTCAAGCTAACTTTGCACCAACATTTCACAAGCATGAAACTCTCTACAGAAGACAAGTCGGACAAGGAAGCACCCTGTGACTGCGCAGGTGTTTGTGTGATCGGGGAAATGTCTTTTTCAGTTACCGCTTGCCTTGCAGCTTTGAAGGGACTACCACCTACCTCTCGGAAGAGTGCGCCATAAAAGGTGACCGTGAAGGGACAGTCCACGGTCCTCATGGAGATATCCAGATCCATCAGTAGCCGCTTCTGCTCTTGGCTGTTGACCGTGGCCCGGATCCGCTGATGGGAATGCATGGAAAATGGACTGTTACTGCCCTGAGGATGGGTCTGTCGACAAGGATCCCCTCCCGAGAACAGTAGGAAAATTCACAGTACAGCTGCTAGCAACAACTATTCAAATACCTACCCTAAGGGATGACCTATCTGTAACAAATGAAAAGTAAGGAAGACTGTTATTCATTTGATTTACCGAATAATCCCCAGGAGAGAAGCAAACTGATCATCTACTGTGGAGAGTGTGCAGATGTTTGGGAAGGCATTGCCAAGTTACAAAACAGTCTGATTTATCCTGTGGGTTTAGTGCAAAGAGGCCAGAATATTCATTGATTTGGGGTTGATTTGGGCTCATACAAAAAAGAAAAAAAAAAGCCGAAATTCCCTTTTTTTGAACAGGTAAAAATATTTGGACTAAATAGAAACTGGAGAAGAGTTAGTTGATCGAGGAATGGGATAAGGAGGAGTTGAACTGAAATGGAGACACTGTTCACGTCTCTCTCTGCTAAGAGAAGAGAGACTAACCACACCAGTAAACGCAGCCACAGAGACAACACAACCGTGTCATTAAATGACAAGACAATATGATATCACGAGGCTTTCACATTTTTTGCCTGCGGAGCAAAGGGCCTGCAGGAGAAAAAACTGAAAAATCTACAAGGTAAGCGAAAGATGCCAGCATTCTCCAAAAAGAAGGAATCCAGGTCATCTGACCGGCCACATGCCTGACAGCCCATCTAGAATTAACACACTGGGCCTGCTCCAAGGTCCTCCCGACATCTACTCAAGAAATATGCGATGATCCTAAATTTCTTTTTATAGCTCCAAAACTATGCAAATTTGCTCAAGATGACTTTACCCTCCTGTTTCCACAAATGGAGGCAATTTTGTGTCTCAGTTTGGGTTTCCTGATTTTCAGGGACAGATTCTTTAAAAGCAACAGAATAAAGTTTAAAAAGAGACTCGTGAGACACAAAACCAAATGCCATGTGTAAGCCTGCATTTGGATTCTGATTTGAAAAACCAACGGGAGAAAAAACAGCAATGACAGCTGTGGAACAATCAAGGTAACGTTCATTGGGACCTGGTAGTAGATGGCAGTGAGGAAGTACTGTGACTCTTTCACGTGTGATGATGTGGTCGGGGGTGGTGCTGGTTTAGTCACTAAGTCGTGTCCCACTCTTGCGACCCCATGGACTGTAGCCCACCACGCTCCTCTGTCCATGGAATTCTCCAGGCAAGAATACTGGCGTCAGTAGCCATTTCTTTCTCTAGGGGATTTTCCCAGCCCAGGGATCGAACCCACATCTCTTGCATCACAAACACAAGCTGCCAGGGAAGCATGATGTGGTTGTTGCATAAAACAGTTAAAAAGAGGGGGTAGGATTCAGCGGTTCAAAAAAACCCGGTTGCTGGAACTCATACCAAGGAGGCATTTGTGACATATTTGGAGGGAAATATTGTTCACCACAAATAGGCTTTTCTGTCTCACCCCATGGAGGATTGTCTTACTTCTATGAAAGTAGCCCATTTGCAGCTGAGAGGGACAAACATATGGACCAGGACCAGAAAACGTCTGGGGAATGTGAACGCTACCTTCACCGCCATTATCTGCTCACTGGGCACGTGCCGCATCTTCTCCACCACCCCGTACGCCCCCCGGCCCAGCTCCACGATGGGCTCCAGGTCATCCGCCTTCACCTCAAAGTTCTGCAGGAGAGAAAAGCAAGGGTGCAATAGGCAGTTTAGTTCAGTCACTCAGTCGTGTCTGACTCTTTTTGACCCCATGAATCGCAGCACGCCAGGCCTCCCTGTTCATCACCAACTCCCAGAGTCCACCCAAACTCATGTCCATTGACTCGGTAATGCCATCCAACCATCTCATCCTCTGTCATCCCCTTCTCCTCCTGCCCTCAATCTTTCCCAGCATCAGGGTCTTTTCCAATGAGTCAGCTCTTCACATCAGGTAGTCAAAATATTGGAATTTCAGCTTCAGCATCATCCTTCCGATGAATATTCAGAACTGATCTCCTTTATGATGGACTGGCTGGATCTCCTGCAGTCCAGGGGGTGCTCAAGAGTCTTCTCCAACACCACAGTTCGAAAGCATCGATTCTTCGGCGCTCAGCAATAGGAAAAAAGGAAACAAACCAGACGCAAGCTACCCTGTCCTCCCTCTGGTTTCTCTGAGCAGTCCAAGGGTCTTTTCTGGTCCAGAACCTTCTGGCCTAGAAGCTTTGCCAAGCCGCCACTGAAAGCAAGAAGAACCCGGGAGATGGGCAGATGCCCACCGCGGGCCCCCCATCTGCCCTGGGCAAGACCGAGGTCCAGTTCCAGCTCAGGCTCTGAACGGCGCGGGGAGCCAGCGCTGACCCCGCACGGCGGGTCTTCATCTGCCCCTCAATGGCCCCTCAGGTCCGCTTGCTGACTCCTGGCGACTAGCTCTAGGCCTGGACTTCACAGAGCACAGCCCAAAACGAACCATCTCTTCACCTCAGAGATCCCCCATCACAACCACAACCGATCCCAATTGGACATTTAAAATAGCAACTGCTCCACAGACCACTTCTGTTTACATTCAAACATTATTGACCCACCCCTGACAGCATGTTATGGAAAATACATTTTTTCCCACTGGTTGGTCGCAAAGCATACATATAAAAGGGTCAAGACATTAACCGGCAGACATGATTTTTCTCACCTGATTTCCAATAGAAATGCAAGCTTTGGAGTCTAAATCTCGAGGTGGCCTGCAAAAGAGAAAGGGAAAACATGAGATATTCAGTTGACCGTGACCTTCCCAAATCCTATGAGACTGCAGAGAGTTCTCCTTAAAAATAAGATGAAAGCTCATGAGTAAAATAAAGTAGCATAAACAGGTGAATAGTGGGGGATTTGGAACAAAACACATGTTCTTAGAAACCACAGTCTCTGAATTTCCATTTCTTCTTTCGTACAAAGATATTAGTACACGTCCTCCTGTGCTAAAGGAGGTGTTCTAAGCAAAATGCTTACTAGCAGAATGCTGGCATACATTCAAAAATAAATATGCATATATATAAACTATACTATATGTAACAGCATACATATATTATATAAAATAATTATATATAATATAACTACTTACACAGGGGCTTACAGGAATAGCCTAATTATTCACATAACAATACACATACACAAACACCCCTATAGGCTTCCTAGGTGGCACTAACAGTAAAGAATCCACCCACAATTTCAGAGACCTGGGTTCAATCCCCGGGTCAGGAAGATCCCCTGGAGGAGAGCATGGAAACCCACTCCAGTATTCTTGCCTGGAGAATCCGATGGACAGAGGAAACTGGTGGGTTACCATGTATAATTCTACCCCTCCTACTGAAACTAACTAAATAAAACAATAACAAAAATGTAGGGACATGAACATAGATAATACATCAACCTAAGGTTTTAATGGCAATCTTTTTGAAATGTATAGAAAACACAAACTAAGGCTTTTCTAAATTAATTTAAAACCCGGACTGAGAGGCAGGGATAAAGAGGCACACACACACATACACACATACACACACACACATACATACACACATATACATATATACACAAACACATACATATACATACATATACACCACACACACATACATACACACACACATATACATATATACACATACATATACACCACACAGACACATGCATATACACCACATGCACACATGAGCACACACACATATACACACACATATACACCACACACACACATACATATACACCACACACACGCATGCACACACATGCATATACACACATACATACATATACACCACACACACATACATATACACCACACACATATATACACACCACACATATACATATACACCACACATGCGCACACACATACATATACACCACACACACACAAACACCACACACATGCATGCACACACATACATATACACACACATACATATACATACATATACATCACACACACAAACACCACACACATGCATGCACACACATACATATACACACACATACACCACACACAAAAATACCACACACATACATATACACACATGCACACACACACATACATACACACCACACAGACGCACACACATACATACACACCACACAGACGCACACACATACATACACACCACATAGACGCACACACATACATACACACCACACACGCACACACACATACATACACACCACACACACGCACACACATACATACACACCACACACATACATACACACCACACACACGCACACACATACATATACACCACACACACACAAACACCACACATGTGTGTGCACACACATACACACATACATATACACACATATACACAACACACATACACATACACCACACACACACATATACACACCACACACACATACATATATACCACACACACATACACCACATACATGCATGCACACACATACATATACACACATATACACCACACACACAAATACCACACACATACATATACACACATGCACACACACACATACACACCACACACATACACGCACACACACACACATGCACACTGCACACAGAGGTGATGCTTTGTAAATCCTGTGTTTCTAAGCAGGGAATTTCTCTTCAGAAACACCTCCCGGAGGAGTCACGCCTTCTGAAATCCGGTTCTAACTCAAAACCTCCGAAGCTCTTTCTGTTTAGTTGTCATGATTTGCTCGTACTAATCGCAATGGAACCTTGAAACAAAGGCAAATATTATTTGAAATATGTGACCAATATAAACAGTGAAAAATCCTGTGCAATTGTTCAGACCCTTCCTTTTGTAAAGAACGAAGCAACAGGAAAGGTCACTAGTTAATCATTCGGGGCTACCTCCGAGGGCATGCCACCCAGCGAGGCTGCTGGGTGAGACCTCTTCCCGCTCTGATATGCTAGCATTCATACAAGGGCCCCCCAAATCAGTCAGTGCGTGCATGCTAAGTCGCTTCATCAGGGTCCGACTCTTTGACATCCTGTGGACCATAGCCCGCAAGGCTCCTCTGTCCATGGGATTCTCCAGGCAAGAACACTGAAGTGAGTTGTCAAGCCCTCCTCCAAGGGATCTTCCCAGCCCTGGGATTGAACCCATGTCTCCTGCGGCTCCCACATTGCAGGAGGATTCTTAATCGCTGAGCTACCAGGGAAGCCCATAAATAAATTACAGTCTGCGACCCAGCTATGGGTGAATTTTACACATTTAAAGTGTTGCAAAAAACAAACAAGAATCTTCGGCAGAGGCCATTGTGGCCTGGTAGCCCCAAATATTTACTATCTGGTCTTCGGCACAAAAAGCTTGCTGATTCCAGTTTTATTCTAACCTTGCATTATAACTCTACCTAATAGGAGGGTTTTGTGCCATTTTCCAGAATGAGAAAAATGAAACCCAGAAAAACTCAGCGATATGCTGAACACCCAGTCCTCAACAGGGCTGAAAATAAAATTCATGTCATCCGAGTCTCAGCCTTGACCTAAGGAGAAGAGGGTATAGACCCTGAAAACTGGGTTAAGTGCTTTCCTTGCATTTCCTGTCATTGAAACACACACACACACACATATACACCACACACACACACACACGCACATGCACACGCACACACACACACACACACACACACACACCCAGCAGTCATTGCTCCCACATTCCAGATGAAAACCTGTTTGACTTAGACTTAAGCTATCTTGTTCCCGAGTACTGAAGCTATGATTCAGTCCACACCCAACTGAATCCAAGGAACCTGCCCACCCAGACCCCCTCTAGTGTAACAGATCACCAACCCCACCACAAAGGCTTTGGGCCTGGCAAGGCGGCCAGAAGCAACAAGTGATGGCCTGAGGTGGACAGCTTGTCTTGGATTAGTTGACACTGTAACCAGTCCAGGGTACCTTCGTCTGTCTAGGGCACTGAGGTTTAAACTGTGGGTGGACATTCTGTGTTACTTATTCAATATTTTAGTCCTCCGGGGAAAGAAGTGAACTTATTACACAACTCCTAACCCTGTAAGGCCAAAGGTATTCCAAAGGCCACATGCTATGATTCTTTTATATAAACAGCCAGCTTTGGTTTATGAAAATATTTATTTATACTTCTACAGGAGTAACGAGTTTACTGGTTACTATTACAATTATTATTTGCCTGGGATTCCCTGGCATCTCAGCAGTAAAGAATCCTCCTGCAATGCAGGAGACTTGGGTTCGATTCCTGGGTGGGGAAGATCCCCCTTCAGGAAAGCATGGCAACCCACCCCAGTATTCTTGACTGGAGAATTCCATGGACAGAGGAGCCTGGCGGGCTACAGTCCCTGGGGTCACAAAGAGTTGGACATGACTCAAGTGACTGAGCATGCATGCATTATTTGCCTATAAATAACAATATTTACTTATTATCTAATGATAATATAAAGCACCTACGTGGGCCATAGACCATGCAAGACCCTTTAAATCCAAAGTCTTTTTTAATTTTCACAGCTCGCAGAGGTATTAGCTTTACTTTTTCAAATATTTATTTAACTGTGCTGGGCCTTAGTTGCGGCATGTGGGATCTTTAGTTGTGGCGTGTGGGGTCTAGCTTCCCGACCAGGGATTGAACCTGGGCCTCCTGCATTGGCAACACGGAGTTTTAACCACTGGACCACCAAGGAAGTCCCAATATTAGCCCTATTTTAACGTGAAAAATTGACACCGACACAGACTAAAAATTCAAGGTCACTCAGTGAGATGGTGACTTTGGAACACAGAGCCACGCCATGAAGTCTTCTCAGCTACAAAGTAAGAGATCCCGCCTCTCATGGACTATTTGGCTCTGATCGCCAGCAGTCTAACATGTGGCTAAGAGCATGTACTTGAGGGTCAGAGAGCCCTCAGTCCGTATGCCAGCTCTCCCACTTATTAAGTGAAATAATAATAATAACAACAACGCTGAGAGCCACATCATTGAGAAATTACCCTGGAACAAGCCCTGGGCTGGACACTTAATATGGACCGTGGCATGTAATCCCCATAGCAACCACAGCCATGTTTGTTCCTGTTTTTCACAGGGGGAAAGTAAGGCTTAGGAAACTTGGGTAACTTGCCTCAGATATTCAACCAAGGAAGCTCAGCTCCCAAATGTGAACCCGCGTATTCCAGCACCAGAGTCTGGGCTCTCTGAGGTCAGCAGCTTTGAGAAGGACACCTGAGCCCGGGACAGGTCTGCCGTCTCACTCATAAAGCGAGCAGAGTCTCTCGTGAGCATTAACTGAAAGAATGCTGGCCAGCACAGAATCAAGTTAGAACTAGGAACAGTTGCTGCCCATCCAGTGGGGGAACAGCCCAGAGACCCGAGTCACAGACACTGCTTCAGGGACTCCGAGAGGAGGCCACACGCTTGGCCCGAAGAAGAATGGGGCTCTGTCCCAGCCTATTTGTGTGCGGTCCAGCAAGAGGTGGCCGGGTATAAATGGCAAAAATCACCAAGCCAGCCTCAAAAAACTGCCAAGGACAACTCAAAATGTGGAAACCACTTCTTGAGGAGCACAGATTTCAGCCTCAGTGTTAATATAATAACAATAACAACAACAACAGTATATCACAAGCCTCTTCCTGAGCTAACGTGAGACCGTTGCTACCACAGAGCGACCCCGGCTCGACATGATGAAACGGAAGCGTGTAGTCAAGGTTTGTCCCACCACGCGAGGGTTAGACAGCAGAGAACCTACCTTTACT